TTTCTTTTTTAAAATATGATCTGTAAATCTTTTTTCATATAAATAAATATAATGCTTTTGTAATTTACTATAAGCAATCCCAAATTTGTTATACAAAATTTTTGCTTTTCGTAATTCACCTTTTTTACAATTCTTACAATTTTTAATACTATTTGTAAAACAATGATGTTGAAATGATTTTAATCATTTACATCTATCACATAAACGCGTTTTACCTTTAAAATAAACAAAATTCTCATCAAAATGATTAATTTCATAAAACAATAATGATTGTCGAAATGTATTTTTAGAATGATAAAAAATATATTTTGTTGGATCTAAACTGTTTCTTTGTTTAAGATGTAAAATGTATATTTGATAGAAATTTTTCGATACTGTTTTAACATTTTCATGTTGAGGAGGTGAAAGAAAAGCAAAAATATAAAATAAAAGATCTGAAATATTTAATAAATCCATTTGATAATTTAATGTAAATAATACAAGCTATTTATATATTTTTCAATAAATACTTTTAACTTAAAAATTATTATTCTTATTTTTTAACTAATGAATGATAAAGTTTTTGAAATTTGTTAAATTCTTTTTCGAGTTCTAATTTTTTATCAATATTTATATCCATTTCTTGAAATGTTAAATTATATATATTTTGATTAATTTCTTTAAAATAAATGTATCTTTCTATGTATAAGTCAGGAAATTTTCCATGAAGTATATATAAAACTTGTTTAAATTTCATAAATTGATGAGTCACATATGTCAAAAATAAAGTTTCTTTTAAAATATTTTTATATTCTTCAATTTTAAGGTCAAATTTAGAAATATTTCTAAAATTTGTTAAATGATTAATAGAATTTTCAATTTTTGTATCTAAATCCATTTTAAAATATTAAATAATTCTTTAAAAAATGCGTTATTTTATATTTTTTCTCTATAAATAAACAAACTTTTCTATTAAAACTTTTTATATTTTAAAAATTTATCACAAAATGTTTAAAATTTTAAAAATAAACAGTACATATATTACTGTTAAAACATATAAGATTCTACATCTTGATCATATTTATGAATTAAAATTTTTTCGTGATCTTATATATAATGAAATTGGAAAACCTAATGATGTTTTAATTTATAATAATAACAAAAACATTATCAATAATAACTTTAAAAGATTAGAACAGGTATTTTAAATTATCTTTATTTTATATAATAATACATTATTAATTTCTTTTTTTATTAGAAAATGATCGAATCAGGATTTACATTTGAAATGTTTCAAAACTCTGATGAATAATTTTTATTTTTTTTTCAAATTTATATAACATTATATATTTCAATAAATTATAAATAGCACATATCTACTACATTATATTATTATTATCAAAAAATAAATATTATTAATCTACCACCTGAAATTATTTTAATGATATTCAATAGTTTTCAATTTAAAAACATAAATGATATATGAAACTTTATGTTTGTTTGTAAAATTTTTTATGATTATATAAAAACATATACAATCAACTTTATACTAAATGAAATTTTTTTAACTAATGATGAATGGTTCCAACTAACACCAAATTATCATATTGATCCTATTAAAAACTTACATTTATCTTTGTTATTTAAACAATTTAAATATCATCATACAACTATCAAAAAAAATAATAAAAAATATAAAACTAAAAAATATATCTTACCAAAAAATATATGAAAAAATATTGTATCATTAAATGACTTTTATTACTTTTATAATCGCGAACATGATTATATTTTTGATTTAACAAAAAATATTTTTTACTTAAATCTTGGATGATATAATTTAGAAATGATGAATGTAATAAATGAAAATAGATCTAAATGTAAATCTTATAAAATAGGACTTTTATTAAATACAAATATGTTCAAAATTCTTTTAAATGAGAAAAAAATAAATCTTTTAAAAACATCATAATTATATTATCAATATAAAAATAATACTTATAAAAATAAATAATACAAATAAAAAACTTAAAAATTTAAGTTTTTTTAATTCATTTTCTCGTTTCATTCATTCTTCTTTATTTTGTAAATGAAGTTTTTCTATTAAAACTTTTTCTTTTTTCAATATTTCATTTTCTTCTTTAGGATTTTTAATTCATGTTTAATTTTATTTAATATACTTTCAAATTGTTTTCTTTTTCATTCATATTTAAAAACATCAATTAAATTTTGAATCATCATTAAAAGTAATTATTAATGATTTAAGATCCTTTATTTTATAATATTTTATTAAAAAATTTTTGAATATGACTCAGCGAAAAATAAAATTTATAAGTAAAAAAAATTATATAAATATTTAAAAAATGAATACATACAATAAATAATGGCAAAAATTAAAAATTTTACGAAATATTATAAAATATTAAAAATCAATAAAAATGCAAAAGAAAAAGAAATCAAACATGCATATAGAAAACTAGCTTTACAATGGCATCCTGATAAAAATCAAAATACTATAGAATCAACTGAAAAGTTTAAAGAAATAAATGAAGCGCATGAAATTTTAATAGAACATATTAAAGAAAAAGAAAAAAAAATCAAAGAAAAAAATATAAAGAAAAAACATGAAACAGAGCTTAAAAAACAACAGACTAAAGAAAAACAAAGAAAGAAAAAAGAAGAAAATATAATAAAAAAAAGACAAGAAGAAATAAAAAAACAAGCAGAAGAAAGAATGAAAAAAGATGAAAAAATAATAATATGCTGTTGTGATAAAGAAGCTAAAAAATATCAAGCTAAAAGTAATGATAACTTAAATAGAATATTTTATATTTGTATCAAATGCAAATTTTTTGTCTGGGAAAATGAATATCAAAATATAATCAGATGTAAATGTAATTTATTTGCTATTAAACGTAAAGTCAAAAAAAATAACAAAAATCATAATAGAACTTTTTATAGTTGTATTAAACAAAAAAACAATTGTGATTTTTTTAAATGGTTTAATTAATTTATATTTATTAATAAAATATTTATATACATATAATAAAAAATTTTAAACTATTTCCTACATTTACTACTTTCACTTTCATTTGAATTAAAAGATTCTTCATTTTCTGAATTTAAAGATTGCTCATAATTTCTCTTATTATTATTTTCTTCTTCTAATTTATATTCAAATAAAAATTTACAATTTGGATAATCTTGTAAATATTGTTTTTTATATTCAGAAAAATTTTCCTTCCAATAAACTTCTTTATCTTTAAAAATAATTTCACCATTATTAAATCCACTTGCTTTAATTTTATCAACTATTTCATCATCTAAAAGATCACCTCTATCAAACTTTAGATTCCATTGCATAGAATGAAATTCTTGTTCAGATCCTTTATGAAAATAAATTTGTGTTGTTCGTTTTTCAATATTATCATCCCATTGACCAGTAAATTCTATAATATATGTTAATCATCATTCAAATTGTTTAAAATCTCTTTGAATACTTTCATCACCACTTTCACGATTTCCAAAATTAAAAGATTCATTTGGTGGTTTTCGTGATGTCATAAAAATAATTTTTGCTAAAAATGGTTTAAATCCTTTTCCTTTTATCTCCACCTCCTCTGCAGTATCATTAATATATTTAACAACATCATTCCAATTAAAACAAGTGTACCATTCATCTAAAAAAACAATATCTTGTTTATCAAAACCATTCCACCAATTGCTTTCATTTTGTTGTTTTTTAGGTTTTATATATAATTCATTACGAAAAAGTTGTTGAACTATACCACTTTTTCCCGAACCACCTGGCCCATACAGATAAATTACTATAGGCATCCAAAATCTTTTTAAATGTTTTTCATTTTGTTGTTTTTCAATTTTATTTAAATGAGATAAATCTTTCATGGATCTTAACCAAGATCTTAGGAGTAATTCAGATTTATTTTTTAAAATATCTTCTTGAGTTAAATTATTTTCAATAATATATTCAATTCTTTTCATATCTGCCAATCGTAATTCATTAATCTCTTCAGATTCATTTTTAGTATTTCCATCCAAAAATCGATAAGTTCCAAATTCAAATGATCTAACAATTTCAGGAGGTAATTCATTATTTCCCCATCATGCAAATATACGTAAACAAGTTGTATCACATTGTTCACATATTTTACTTAAATCAAAATAATCACAACAACAATTTGAATGTTTTTTACAACGATTATACAATTTCATTGCATAATTTTTATTCTGTTCGGAATTACCTTTAAGATAATCTGGAAAAGAAATTGAACTATCTTTCAAAATTTCTTTTGTAGTTTTTTTTGTTTGACGATCTTTAAATTGTAAAAACATTTGAGCATGTAAACTACCATTATCTGTAGCCTCAAATTGACCACATATATATGATACTTTTGATTTTATTAAATCATATGAACTTTGATCATTTGGTAATGATCTTTCACATTTAATATTTTCACTTGTACAATTATCACAAGTAATTTTATTACATTTATTTAATTGACAACAATTTATACATTTTTTATTTTTACAACGCCAATGTTGTAAATTACATAATGAACACATAGGAACACCAGATTCTTTGTATTGTTTTTCTCGTTCAATTTTATCTTTTTCAGATAAATTTTTTTTACATTTGAATTTTTCTTTACATGGTAAACAATGGTAAGAAGTACCACAAATCTGAAGAAATTTATAATTTTTCTTTTTATTTTCATTCTTATTTTCTTTCATGTTTTGTTTGATTTTTTTTTAAAAATAAAATTTTTAGACGGTCAATAATTCTATTATTTATATTTTTTATTTATATGTATTATTATAAATTATTTATAGTAATAATTTACAAATTAATATTTATATTACATACTTTAAAATTTATTATATAATACATATAAAAAAATAATTTAAATATAGTAATTAATAATTAATATTTCGAAAAACATGGCTTAATAAAATTTCATAAAAAATAGATTTATAATTTAATTAAATATAAATAAATGTACTTTAGACTAATTTTATTTTTTTAAAAAATGTTTTCAAATGAAATTTACTATATAATTCTTGAAAATTATATTTTTACTAATTTACATGATATAATAAATATTATATTAACATGTAAATATTTTTATAATATAATTAGAAAAAAATTTATTATATTACAAATTTCAGAAGAATATGGAAAAAATCAATTGAATACTTGTCAATTAAAATATTATTTAAAAGATAAAAAACAATTTAGTAAAATAAGTAATGATCATTATGATAAATTACAATCAAATTTTTCTCATTATGAAAATACCAATATCTTAATTAAAACAAAAGATAAAACAAAATCTCAAAAATATTATATTATTCCAACTAATACATATATAAAATTATATTTCAAGTATTGTTATGTTATTAAAAAAGAATTTGGATTACCTATTATTGAAAATATATTTATTAAAAAAAAATATTCATTTAATATATTTCAAAATTGGGATTGGAATAATGAACCAAATATTAGTGGAATTTATACACTATATTTTGTTTCGAATTGTAAATATTATATAACTAAATCAATTTTAAAAAAATTACTTTTATTTTTTTTTTTTTTTTTGAACTTTGGCGACAATGCCAGTTGGTCTTTATTAGCTTAATCTTTGATATAGTACAAATTTTATGGTTACATTTTAGGATCGATTATTACTAGTACTATATACT